GTCTCAAATCAAATTAAGAGAATAACTGGCGTACACTGTACGGCTCCATTGCTCTTATTTGATTAGTTTTGTGTGAGGGAGACTTCAAGGAGGGCTTCCAAACTGAATAAAGAGGTTATGGAGGTTGCTGTGTGTCGCTATGACAAGCCCTGAATAGTCGCCTTCACTCTTTATACAGGTCAAGCTCATGCTAACAAAATGTGTTTTACAAATACAATAATAATACAAAATCAAAGTTAATGTGTAAACTGGATTATGTAGCCGTTTCCCTTTCCATTCGCCCATCCATTTACAAGCAGATTAAATGGAGTGAACCAACTGTCAGAACCTCTCCCACCGTGCCCTGAGGAATATACGCCAACAGCAGGTGATTGGAGGGTTTTCCATATTCTCGCTTTTAACAGCATGAGTGGAAGTCCTCACATCACATGCAATGGAGAGGAAGCACAACAAAGTGGCTCTCTGCATCAGGCACTTTTCACAAAATACGTAAGTCTCCTGTTGGTGGTTTTGTTGTTCCCTCTGTCGTGTGCACTTGGCTTTATGTCAGTTGCAATCCCGACAACTGTCATATAAAATGTTTATCAGACTTAGCGGCAGTAATGGTGTCACAGTGGATTTTTGATGTGAAGGAATGGGCATCTGGGTGTGAGCTTAATCACATTACAGAAAATAACATATGCCTTTTTCCAGCACTATTTAAATTTTTAGGTTTGAAAGAGCAGCTGATAATCTGGTCTCCTGCCGACCACGTGTCACCACCAGAAGCTTTGCCACCTTTATGTTGGTTTTATTTCCCTCCAGGACATTCTCCATACTAAGCTGCGAGAGCTTTTAATTGTTTATGTGTAACTTAAATTCACTGAAACTGTTACTCGACCACTCAAGGCACCGCACACACATTACTTCAGCAGTCAGTCTAGGAGCTTTATCTTAAGCCCCTTTCAGACATGCACTCTTTTCTGCTAATCTGACAGCATCTGAAAGTGTTGTGTCTGAATGACCACCCTGGTTTCTGCGTAAGTTGCGACGGTATTCTAACTAGGTCGGACCTTGTAGCACTTCTGGATCGCTGCCAGCACGGCACAAGTCTGAATGCAGTGGCATTAACGGACAGACAGGCGGTCACAAGCAACAGCGCTCTGACAGGTTTGCTTTTTTCTTTTCAGCATCAATACTGGCATCACAGGGAGCAAAAGACTCAGTTCGATTGCTTTCACTTTGCTGTAGAGTTTCACATCTATTCCTGAAGCAGCCTTGAAAATAAAACTTTACTGTGATGAGGACAAAACAGGTTGGATTAGCGTAGTTTGAGTTTAAGTTCAGCTTGTTGCAAGCTCCAATGAATCATGAATTTGATCAACATTTACTGTCAATCTGAGAAATTATATTAGCTAAACTAAATGTACGATGTACTACTGCATACTAATATGAGACATCAAGTTATAATATGTCTGTTAAGGCTTATACGATGATCAAATACATACAAACACATGCTAACAAAAGCACACACGATCATTTCTGCTATTTCTAATAATCAGTCGTGACCCGACCAGACCTTCTGAGTTGAGAGTTTTTCAAGGTAACGATGCATTTGAAAACGCTAACCAAAAGTTTCCAGCGTGTTTGTGTGTTTATGAGAACAATAGCTTGTGTTCCAACCAGCTGAAAGCAGGTCAACCTCGAATTAAAAGTACTCATCAGCTTTCGGTGCACGGTGAGGTGAGAACATTTCGCTAACAGGCTATTATCGCAGCTGCCTGAATTAACAAAAGGTATGAAAAACAACCAAACGTGTTAATAGTCCACAAAGGGGGGAAAGTGCAAACTGTTACAAAAGCAGATTCAACTCCACGTGAGTCCAAAACTCCAGTCACACGCTGCCAAGAGAGCCGCTGTTTCACTCTCCCAACTTGATGAGTTGCAGCGAGGACGAGGAGGCAGCCATCCAGCTACAGTCTGGGCCCAAACAATATATCAGGTACCATGTTTCCAGAGGACTGAACATTCCTCCTAAGACCACAAGTATTGCATAAGACCCCAAGCACACCCTACCGCTGTATTAATCACTAAAAAAAATTAACCTCATTTGATAGTTACTGTAATCCTATTAAAGTCACCATAACAACAACCTACTGCCTTTTACATAACACAACAAATAGGATTACGCTCCGTTGTTGCATTCCTCCTATGCTTTTCTGAAAATCTTGTTCCGCGCTCCAAATATGAGACCTTATAACCTCGAAAAGCAAAACAGAACCTTTTGTTGTCGCTCTTTGCCAAGGTAAACAGCTGATTCTTAGAACAGAATGTAAACTCTCGTGTTTCTTATCCTCACGTAACTTTACACAACCTCATTCTAACTGCTCGCTGTGATGTACTGTTCTGTTACTGAAAGGTGTGTTATTAATTTCCCTCATTACAGCATCAGTGGTGGTGCGGGGGTGGAGGAGGGGGCGTTGCTACCTTACACTGGGTTCAAGCCTCGGCTGGGGACCTTTATGTGTGTGGAGTTTGCAGGTTCTCCCCGTGCTTGCGTGGCCTTTCTTTTTTATCGCCGGCTTCCAACACGCTGAGCGTAAATGGTGATTCTAAATTATCCTTAGGTGAGAGCATGCGAGGTTGCCTGTCTGTTAGCGATGGATGGTGCACTCTCTGCCTTCACCCTACGTTAACTCTTGCAACCTCTCGCAACCTTCGGCAGGATAAAAGCAGCCTAGAGATAAAGTGGCCAGACAATAACACCGCCTAACGAAAAGTTGCACCAGATTCTGTGAAAATAAAAGTCAATTCTGGACTGTGCACTCTACAGGGCCATGATCCGCTGAACTGCAGGGTGTGTGTTTTTTTAATTTTACACAGACTAGATAGGAGACATGAATAGAAACAAATTAAACATAATAAATTCTAAGTGGTAAAATACTCTTTAGGTTGACTTTAATCATTTCAGATAACTCCATCTTCACAAACCTTCAGAAAACCTAATTTTCCATCGTCTACCTGAGACAATCAAACTTAAGTTATCTCT